ATATTGGTATCATTTTGTATTTTTTTTTTAAGATCTTTTTTATTTAAATTTACCAATAATGCTTCTTTTATTCTGTTAGGATTATGTAAATATTTTAATAATGGTTCATCTGTACTTATATTTATTTTTTTTTCTTTTTAATGTATTTAAATCATTTAGATGATTATTCATTAAATTGATTATCTAATTCTTCTATTTTTTTTAATAAAGATATAGATGTAGATTCATTTATTTTTTTTTTCTGATCTATTTTTTCATCAGTTAAATTTATTTTTAATTCTTTTAAATTTTGACTTTCACTTACACTAATATTTAGTATATTAGTTATTTCTATTTCTGTTTTATATAATATATCACTAATTTTTATTATTTCATTATAAATATCAATGTTTATTTTATCTAATGAATTTAAATATTTTAATCGTTCTTGTAATCCATCAAGTAAATGTTCTATATTATTATTAGGTTCTTTTTTTATTAAATTTATATAATAACTAGAAATATATATTCCATTTTTCATATCAAATAACTCAAATTTATTATTTAGTTCCGTTGTTAAAGTTCTTATTTGAAAAGTTTTACCATGACAATTAACTTTTGTAGTCATACTACAATGAAAGGCGATTATATTATAATTATTATTATTGTACATCATATTTAAATGGAGTATTATTAAAATCTATATTTGTAGTTTATTTTCATAAACTACAAAATAGATAATTGAGGATATATAATAATAAATGAAATATATAAAGGAATAGATTAATTTTTTATAAATTAATTTATTTATTATATATTTATTTATTTTTCCTAAAAAAAAAAAAAATACCCTATAAATAAAAAATATTTTTTTATTTATTACTGCTTTTTAATGAGTCCTATAGTGATATATTTTATAAATCCTTATATAGGATCTCAATTTTTAAAATGTTAATTTTTTTTTATACTATTAAATCCTATAGATTTATAAATTTATTATTAAAATAAATTAAAAAACAAGAATAAATATTTTAATAGTAATATAAAAAGGAAATCTAATAAATTAAATAATATATAAAATCTTTATAGAACTAAAATTTTTATGTATTCAATAGGTATATACTTTTTTTTTTCCATGATATGATCTAAATATGTCATGGAATAATATGTAAATCCTTGACATGTATATAGTGACATGATATATATATAGGTTATTAGGATATTCTAGGGGATGATCTTGTCAAATGACTAAAAACAGGACAATTATTTTATAATAAAAATTCTTCTATAGGAGGTATAAATTATTTTCTTTGTTTTTATTGGTGTAATTATATCACTCCTTAAGTGGGGAAAGTAGATTAAACATAAGAGACTATAAAGGGCTAACACCTAACCTATAGTAAAAATAATTAATTTATAAAATGATTAGTATATTAATTGGTAAATATATAATAAGTATTATAAGTAATAGAACTAAAAAATTATATAGTAGTACAAATACAAAAATTGTAGAATTTACTGATCAAGAGAACTATTTAATAAAAAATAAATTATCAATGTTTAAAGATAATGATAAATATAAAATACTTATCAAGTATCTTGAACCATGTATAAATAATTTAAATGAATATTTAAAAATAAACATAAATTATTACCTTTACATGTATTAAATCCTTATAATATATTTACTTATAGTATAATATTTATTATTTCAAGTTTATAAAAAAAAAATAATAAAATTGAAAGAACAAATACAACTATTAAATTAGATAGAATTATAACTAAAAAAAAATGTTATATAAAAAATATATTAATAAATTAAAAAATGAATCAATAAAAATGAAATATGTATCATTTGATACATATATTTCATTATAAAATAATTATACAAAAGAGGAATATTATTTAAAAGTTGGTAATTTCATATTAAATATATTAAAAGAAGAAAAAATTATAAAATTTATTATTGAAAATAAAGGTATATCTTATATAACTATAATATATATTACTATATATAATAATGATATATTATTTAATTTTAAAGAATTAGGGTTAATAACTAATTTACCTATGATTATAAAACCAATAGAATGGACAGATAAAACATATGGCGGATATTTTTAATATGAAATATGAATTTTGGTTTCAGGCTAAAGAAATATTTATTAATTCCGATACAGTATAAAAATATAAAAATATTTTAGAAGGTAAACAAACTAAACATTATATAATAGTTTATAAGGATTATATATGTTCTGGTTTACAACATTTAAGTGTAATACTTAATCCTGTGGATTCCGCTAAATACACTAATTTATTAGGTAATGATTTTAATAATAAACCTAATGATTTATATGAATATTATGCAAGATTAATAATAAAAGAAATTATAAATTTAATAAAAAGAAATAAAAACTGTTACAGATCAGTTGATCTGATAACGGATATATAAATTTATTAAAAAATCTATAATGACTATACCTTATAATATAAGTATTAATGATATAGTAGAACAAATAAAACAATTTTTTGAAATAAATAGAATAGAAGAACCTGATTTAAATAATCTAACAGGTAGGTAAAAAAAATAATATATCATTATTATATTCCAAATACAAATAATTATATAGATGGTGATGATTTATATAAATTAAGTAAAATAATTTATTTTATATTGTTTAAAAATAATATAAGATTAAAGAATATAGTTAAATATTTTAAAGAAATAAGTAGATTATTAAATAATCTTGTTTTACTTTACAATGATAGATTAATTATTCCAGAGTTACCTTATTTAACAAATAATTCATTTGACTTAGCAAAAGAAATGAAAGAAACTAAATATTTTATTAATTAATATATTTTTATATTATCATTATTATATTTATATTAACCTGTAATACTATCTTTTAATCTCTAACATTCTTAGAGAATTTTTTTAATATTTAAATTATTTATTCTAATCTATTTTAAATGGATTTTACAGAATATTAAAGTAAATTTTACTTTATACATCTAAAATTAAAATTATATATTATTTATATTAATCTCTTGTAATAATATTATATATATATATTTTTAATCATAAACATCACTTTGCTAGCTGTTCAACTATTGTTCAACATACAGCACTTCCATTGCTTTATTTATCTTACATATACATTTCTCACTTATTTTTTTTTTAATCTCTTTATTATAATTCCTTTAATTATTCCTTTAAAATATTTTTACTTATTTTTTTTTTTAATTTAAAACATTATTTTATAAATCTCTTATATTTTTCCTAATAATTTTTATTATTATTTATGACTGCTTTTTACTGAGTCCATATAGGGAGGATTTAAAAAAAAAAATATTTTTAGACACTCTCTATAAGGGTGGTCTCAATTAAAAAAATGTAAAAATATGTTTATTACTTATAAATTCCTATAAATTTATTAATTTTATAATTTAATGATTTAGTATATTTAAATTTCTACAATATATAATATCCTAAAAAAAATTTTACACTAGAAAATATTTATATACATTTATTTACTATCTATTTTTATTTTTAATATTATACAGGTAAATAAATATTTTTAATTTACAGAACATTATATATTAATAAATGTTAATCCAAATAAATAAAGGATTAAATTATTTAATCCTTTATTTATTATATTTTTTTTTTAAGCTTTTCTACAAATATATCTTTAAATATAACAAATGACTATAATCAGTTAACATCATAATAATATAAATTTTCACTATATGGTTATAGACAAAAATTTATAATATTTATTATAAATAAAGTTAAAAATTATATTATAAAATTTATTAATTTTATAACTATAATTTTAATATTTTATTTTTTTTTATATTTTTATAACAGCTTGTTATAAAGTTAAATATGAACTTATATTAATATAAATTTCAGATATTATTTATTTGTTAAACTTTTTTATTACTTCATATAACTCTATTGTATTTATTTTATTATATTTTATTATATATTCTTTAAAATTAAATTTATTATTATAATCTTTTATTCAACTAAAATTTAAACCTATATATTTCAGATTATATTTATTTATTTAATAATAATTACATAATACAATAACTATCTAAAAAAAAAAAATTTAATTTTTTTATAGTTAAAATTTAATAAAATTATACTATTATAATTATTTTCAATATAATTAATTTTCGTAATATTATTTTTAAGTATTTATTTAATAATAATTATCAGCATTATATATACATTAATATTTTTTATTTCTTCTATCATAAATTTATAATTTAATTAAAAAATAAAATCAATATAATTTTAACACAATTTTTTTTCTAAAAAAAAAAGTTAAAATTATATTTTAATATTTATTATATAAAATAATAAAATATATTTAAAATTTAATATATTTTATATAATTATAATTATTGCCAGATTAGCTTAATTGGTAAAGCAGTAATCTTGTAAATTACCTTATATGGATTCAAATTCCGTATCTGGCTATATCATTATAACCTACTTGGAGAAATTGGTAGACTCAAACGACTTAAAATTGTTTACACTTTGTGTGTGAGGGTTCAAGTCCCTCAGTAGGTAATAAAGAGAAGAAAGCATTTTGGTATTGCAATCGCCCTGTAAAGGCGATGGTTTCGACCATTCTGGGTTCAAATCCCAGTCTTCTCAAAAAAAAAGGGGAGATAGCTTAATGGTAAAGCCTACTGCTCATAACAGGAAAGATGTAAGTTCAAATCTTACTCTCCTCAAAAAAAAAAAAATAAAATGCGAATAAGTGTTATGGTGGCACATAAGGCTCATGACCTTAAGGAGATTTGTTCAATTCAATCATTCGCAAAATATAAGATCTCATCATCTAAGGGTAGGATCTGGCACCTTCACTGCCATAATGTTCGTTCGAATCGGACTGAGATCAAAATAAAGGAATCGTAACTTAAAGGTTAAAGTGTTTGCTTGATAAGCAAAAAATAATGGTTCAATTCCATTCGATTTCATAATAAAAAAAAATTAAATCGATTAGATATCTTAACGGTAAAGTATCGGGCTGCAAACCTGATTATGAGTGTTCAATTCACTCTCTAATCTAATATAATATAAAAAAAAATATTTTTATTATTTTTTTTTATTTAAAAGGGAGTATAACTTAATTGGTAGAGTAACAGACTTTTAATCTGCGTTATTTGGGTTCAAGTCCCAATACTCTCAAATTTATTGCCTTGATAGCTTAACAGGTTAAAGTACGGAACTGAAAATTCTGGGTAGGATGTTCGAGTCATCCTCAAGGCATTATAAAAGCTGTAGTAGCTTAATGGTAAAGCCAATCACTGTTAATGATCGGATCTCTGTTCAATTCAGGGCTACGGCTAAAATAAAAATAAAAGGAAAAATCGCCTAATGGTATGGCAATAGTTTGCTAAACTGTGCATCTTATAGATGCTTGGGGGTTCGAATCCCCTTTTTTCCGAATAAAAAAAAAACAAAAGGATTATATTTATTTTTATTTTCCTAAAAAAATATATATAAAAAATGAAATTTGCTTTATTATTATTTTTAATTGGTATTTATGGTATTATTTTAAATAGAAAACATTATCTTTTAGTTTTGATATCAATAGAAATCATATTATTAGCTGTTACTATTTTAGTTCTTTATTTTTCTATTCTTCATGATGATATGTTAGCTCAAATATTTGGTTTATATATAATATCAATAGCTGCAGCTGAATCTGCTATTGCTTTATCTATATTAGTAGCTTATCATCGATTAAGAGGTACAATAAATATAACAACTGTTACTTCAAAAGAGACTAATGTTACTTTATTTCCTAAATTTACTTTATAATAATTAATTCTTATAATAAGGGTAGATGACTGAGTTGGTTTAAGGTACTTCGCTTGAAACGAAGAGAAGTTTTGAATAACTTCCATGGGTTCAAATCCCATTCTGCCCGTAAACGGATAGTAGCGTAATAGGTAACGCCTCTAATTTGGGATTAGAAGATTGTAAGTTCGATTCTTGCCTATCCGAAAAAAAAAATGGTCAATAGAAAAAAAAATATATATATAAAAATATATATGAATACATTATTATTATTTATTATATTAGCACCTGTAATATTAATAGGTTTATTAGTAGTAAATCTTATAGTACCTGTAAATAAACCAGATTTTTCAAAATTATCACCATATGAATGTGGTATGGATACAATAGGAACAGCCAGAGAAAAATTTAATATACAATTTTATTTAGTAGCTATATTATTTTTAATATTTGATATAGAAGTAATATTTTTATTTCCTTTTGCTTCTGTTTTATATAATATTTCTTTATTTGGTTTTTGGATAGGTACAATATTTATATTTGTATTAACTGTAGGATTTATTTATGAATTAAGTAAAGGTTTATTAAATATTATAGATATTTAATAAATATAATTCTCTATAATATAATAAATTATATTTATAATTAAAATAAAAATTTTAGTAGGGAAATAATTTAATTGGTAAAATACTAGTCTCCAAAACTGGTTTTAAAGGTTCAAGTCCTTTTTTCCCTGATTTATATATAAACACTCTTAGCTTAATTGGTTAAAGTTATAATCTTCGAAATTATTAATATGGGTTCAATTCCCATAGAGTGTTATAAGGCGAATATAGTTTAAAGGTAGAACTACAATTTGTGGCATTGTTAATATGGGTTCAATTCCCATTATTCGCCTAAAAAAAAAATAATTAGTAACTAACTTAACTCGTTTAGCTTAATTGGATAAAGCATCGATCTTCTAAATCGTCTATTGTAGGTTCAAATCCTTCAACGAGTGAAAAAAAAAAGGATAGTAATAAAAATTAAGAAGATTAAAAAAAGTAAGAAATTTTAATAAAAGTAAAAAAAGAGAGAAAAAAAAATGATAACATTATTATTATTAATACCTATAATAGGTTCAATTATTTGTCTACAAGTAACAAATAAAAAAAAAATAAAAGAAATAGGTTTAACTACAGCCATGATAAACTTTATTGTATCTATTATAATGTGGAATAAATTTGATTATAGTTGTAGTCAATCACAATTTTTAATAAGATTAACTGATACAATAACAGCTGGTGTAGATGGGATATCTTTATTATTTATATTATTAACAACATTTATAATAGTAATATCAATATTAGGTGGTTGGAATATAGAAAAAAATATAAAATATTTTATAATATCATTATTATTATTAGAAAGTATATTAATAGGTGTATTTGTAATATTAGATATATTAATTTTTTATATTTTTTTTGAAGCATCTCTTATACCTATGTTTTTATTAATTGGTTTATTTGGTAGTGATAAACAAGGTTATAAAAAAGGTAAAGAAAAAGAAGAATTAACTAGAATATATGCTACTTATCAATTTTTTTTAATGACATTAGCTGGATCATTATTAATGTTATTAGCTATATTAATATTATATTCTTTTTCAGGAACTTATGATTATATATTTATTTCTTCATCTTATTTATTACCTTCTAGACAATTTATTTTATGGTTGTCACTTTCCTTCAGCAAGAAAGATTTTAGTAATGTTTTTTATAACCGTTTTAATATAATTGAAGTATCAAACTCTTATTTTACATTAATCAAATTTAAGGGTCAGCAAGTATTAATCAATCGTAACTTAAATACTGATTCTAAAAATATTCAATTTTATTTAAGTCCAAAAAAAGTTTACCATAATGCGGATATTTCAAAGCTTGATATTATTTATAATAACAAAAATAAATCAGGAGTATACAGATGGATAAATCTATTAACAGATAAAAGTTATATCGGAAGTTATGTAAATTTAAGAAATAGATTTTATGATTACTACAATTTATCATATTTAAATAAACGAAAAAAAAATTCAATTATATATTCTTCTTTGTTAAAAAACGGATATTCAAATTCCGAACACTGCCAGTGTTCGGAATATTGTGATAAATCTATTGTACGGGGGAAAGAAAATTATTACATTAATTTATTAAAACCTGAGTATAACATTATAAATAATGAAGGTTTAGGTTATACTCATTCAGAAGAAGGTTTAAATAATAGACCCATTTATAGACATTCAGATTTGACTAAGACTAAAATTAGTGAAGCAGCTTTTTTTCGTAAAAAAAAAAAATCTAAATTGTGCACTGACACTCTTTTTGGTAGGCAAGACAAATTGAATATGAGCTTATCACCAAAAATGCAAGCACATCTAGCTTTTTTAAATTTAAACAATAGTTATAAAGTTGAAATAACTAATATAGATACTAATATAATGATTTCTTATGATTCTATAAGAAAAGCAGCAGAAATACTAAATTGTAGTCATAATACGGTACGTAAGTACAGTATAAAACAAAGAATATTAAAAAATAAGTATAAAATTAAAATTTGTTATTCAACTGATAAAAATGTAGAAAAAGACATTACTAAAAATATGACCAACAGATTAATTCATTCAAGTAATAACACTTTATATAATAAAAAAATTAATATGGATACTATTATGAACACATACACTAATAAAGAATGTAAAAATTTAGTTATTTATGGTTCTAATTTAGGTTCAACTTTAAAGTATAAAGGTTTTGGTTCTAAATTAAGATCTATATGTGAAATACCAAAATATTTAAATTCTGTGATATTTGGAGTTTTAATATCAGATGGTTATTTATATAAAAATAAATCCAACAAGACATTACTGGCTTTTAAAAATAAAAATTTTGAATATTTTTGGTTTATTTTTAATAAATTTTCTCATTATTGTAGATCATTACCTAGAATTTCTAGAACAAATATAAATGGTAAAAAATATTATATTTATATGTTTGCTACTAGAGTTTATCCTTGTTTTACTAAATGGCATGAAATGTTTTATATTGAGGGTAAAAAAATAGTACCTTTAGATTTATATGAGATGTTAACATATGAAGCATTAGCTCATTGGATAATGGGGAATGGAACTAAAAGTTATAAAGGTATAACTCTTCAAACTCAATCTTTTACAGTACAAGAATGTACTTTTATAATAAGTGTATTGAATTATAAATTTAAATTAAAATGCAATATTCATATGCAAAGTAATCAACCTACTATTTATATTACAAGTAAATCTATGAAAAAACTTAAACCCCATATATTACCGTATATGTGTTCTAGTATGAAAGAAAAATCATTTAACTAATTTTTGGATTTAGATCAAAATTTTTATAAAATAACCAATATTATTTTTATTAATTTAAAGAATAATGATTGTATTACTATGTATTAAATCTGCGTGGCAAATTCGAGAGACCTCCAGTAATTAGAAATAATTATCGGAATATCGTCGAACTAAGTCAATTTATTGAAAAATTTATTGTAAAAGCGTAGAGGCCAAACGCCACATGATCATCTACGGGACAATAGAATTGTCCTAGGAGATTATAAGAAATGGTCCGGTTCACCGGTGACGGCTCGTAAATTAAAATTTACGTAAGATATTTGTACCATATATTATTGTATAAATATTGAGAAAATAAGCTAGCTGTATCTGAAAAAGATAAAAGGCCTAACCCTGAGGATTTTTTATATCTTTTGCTATAAAAACACCTTTATTACCATTTCATCAATGGTTACCTTTAGCTCATACTGAAGCACCATTAAGTGGTTCTATAATATTAGCTGGTAAACTAATGCTAGCTCATCAAAATTTAGCTATATGCTGGAAACTCTTATTTATAAATTTAATCGGTAATATAAATAATATTTATGATTTAATAAGACAATCAGCAGGAAACTATATCATATTTGATATTCGATTTAGGTCGGAAGTAAAAAGGTTTAATATAGACTATATATTAAACAAATTACATAGGATCCTCAGAGACTATACGCTAAAAATAATTAACAGTTTTAATTATAATGATCATTATATTAAATTTAATTTTTATTCATATCATTGCCGTAACTTAATGATTGATATAGAAAAACAATATTTCTCTACTTTTATTAATAAACAAACAGATACAAGTTACATTAACGTAAACTTTACTAAAAATTATTTAGGTTCTTATTTAGCTGGTTTGATTGAAGGAGATGGTTGTTTTTATTTACCTAAAAATGATGTTAATACACCTCAAATTATTATTGCTTTTTCCAATAAAGATTATCCTTTATTTGCTACATTACAAAAAATTTTAGATATAGGTAATATATATAAAATTAAAGGTAAAAATGCGTATCATTATAGAATTAGTGATAAAAAAGGTTTAGAAAAAATAATAATTTTAATAAATGGTTATATGAGAACACCTAAAATTAATCAATTCTATAAACTTATAGAATGGTTTTATAAAAAAGATATTAATATCATTAAAAAACCATTAGATAATTCTGAATTAAATAGTAATGCTTGGTTAGCTGGTTTTATAGAAGCAGATGGTCATTTTTCAGTAAGATTATCTATAGATAAAAAAGGTAAATTAAAAAAAACAGCTTGTTCCTTAGAATTAGTACAAAAACAAAAAAATATTTATGGTAATTTAAATTTTGAGATGATGTCTCAAATCAGTAAATTTTTATTATGTAAAGTTAAAGAAATTAATGTTACTTCTAAAAACCCTCAATATAGAATAAGAACAACTAATTTAGAAGGAAATTTTATATTAAAAAATTATCTAAATAGCTATCCGCTGTTTGGTAGTAAATATTTAGATTATAAAGATTGGTGTAAAGTATTAGAATTATTTTATATACAAAAAAAAAAAAATGAGGAAGATATAAAAAAAATCTTCAAAATAAAATCTAATATGAATGATAAAAGAACTTATTTTAATTGGGATCATTTACAAAAATTTTATAAAGTATAATAGAATTGTTTTAATTATTAAAATATAGTCCCAGGCACATGGTAACATGTGCGGTATCTACCAAATAAAGAACGATATTAAATAAATTTAAGGTTCAAATATATATATTTGAACGTAATATTCCTTTATTTGGGAAGTGTCTTTATAACTATAAATATACTTCGTGACTTTTTTAGTAGTAGATCAAGAAAAAATAAAAAGATTATGTTAAAATTAGCAACTTATGGATTTATAAGATATTCTTTAAATTTATTTCCAGAAGGATCTTATTATTTTTTACCTTTAATTTTACCATTATCACTTTTAGGTATAATTTATTCTTCTTTAACTACTTTAAGACAAATAGATTTTAAAAAAATTATTGCTTATAGCTCAATCGGTCAAAATGGCCCCATGAATATATTATATTCACCACAACAAACTATATGCGGGGAATTTAATGAATTTTCAAAGAGAAATTTAATCTTTGATTATTCAATATTACAGAATACTAAAATTATAAGTAATCTTATTTTATTTTTAGATTCCATTTTAGTTAGAATTTCTATAATATATTTAAACAATCCGCAGATAACCAAAGCGCTTAGCACGTTAATGGGAATCTCAGAGGCCATATGTTTGTTATTCACAAAAATATTGAAAGTATTACCAAATATATTAAAATATTCTAATAAATTTTATAATTTTATTTCTATGTATACTACTTCTACTAAAAATAAAAATAATGCAGAAAAAAGATTTAATGAATGGGTAGCTGGTCTTATTGATGGTGATGGATGTTTTCAATTATCTAAAAAAGGTCATGCAAGTCTAGAAATTACTATGGATTTAAGAGATGAACATTGTTTATATTTAATTAAACAAAAATTTGAAGGTTCTGTTAAATTAAAAACTGGGGCTAAAGCTGTTAGATATAGATTACACCATAAAGCAGGTTTATTAAAATTGA